GGTGTTCAGTTGGCAAAGAAGATAGAAGAGTGGTGGCAGTGAATGAAGACAGCATATCAAACCAAGAGCAACATGGAAGATGGCACCACCAGAAACAAGGGATGCAAACAAGCTGCATGCTGGCAGAGCAAGGAGATAGGAGACAAAGCTCATGCAGCTGTCACCAAAAGTCACCTCAGGCAAGGCTCCCTCAGGATCCTTCCACAAAGAGTACTATGGTTCTTACCAGTTAAGACTACAGTCATGAGCTCTACCTGTTAAATCTAGCTGTCCCATGAAAGAAAACCATATGATGTACAGTGGGACCTGCAGGGAGAAAATGGGGTGCTTCAAGGATTTGTAAAAGTAGCTTTTGCTCCCAAGGCTGCCTTCACTTTGCAGCAGCTTCTGACTCACTAGGAGACTCAACACTCAATGTTGTGCCAACTTTTGATGAAAATACAACCTTCTGTCTGTCAGACGGTTTGTTAAATTGTGGGAGAAAAGGTATTGGATAAATCTGAGCACCCTTTACTCATGGCTCTTCACAACTTCAGGAGTATAACCTGTAAGCAGTAGAAAATTAGTAGAAAAGGAATGAGATGTGAGTACAGTACATGATCTGGCTGTGTCTTAACCAGAGAGAAAGTTAGTCATGAGCATTGCTGAATCCTCTAAGCTTGGAGCTGAGAAGGATTTTCTGGGATCTCTAGATCATTACTTTTCAGTTCATATTTTCCTCTGGACTAAAAGCTGGAAGTTTTCACTGGTGCCATGAAAATGCAAGAAACACGGTAAAATCCTAACATAATTTTGTTAAACATGAAAAAATTGGTTTGATTCTTAAAATCCTCTGGGTGTTTATGGTGCTTTTAGACCAAGAAAGCCACAGATGGATGATTGTATTTAATTCAGAAATCTCAGAGAGGCAGCAAACACCGACACATCCCCATAAAAAGCAACACTTTTACTAAGTTGTTTTCAGGCAGACTGTAAATGTGTGCTACAAGAAAAACCTTACCTGGGATTAACATAAATAAATACGTCTAACTTCAATTTCAATTAAATATGCAGATACTACTGGTCATACTAGTATACAGAAAAAAATACTTTTTTTATACCACAAAACTGCAATGCATTCATGTTGTGGATCCGCAGCACTGAACTCAGAAGAGTAATCCTAGTTTCATTACACATTGAACAAAATTTCTTCCCAAGATGGAGTGCATCAACCCTATAAAAGGCAGAAGAATTTCCAGGAACCTGACATATCAGAGAAGAAGGAGGATTCAGAAAGGTGGCATATATTACTGTTCCAAGAATACAACTTTCATGAATTCCAGGAGTAGAGACTGCAAAGAACAGCAGTAATCTAACTGGAAACCTACAACACTCGTATGACTGTATATATTATTCTCTAATTCCTGAGAACTATCGCTGGAGACATTTGTTGCTATTGCCTAAAGTGTGGTTTTCCATCAGTCTAAGAGCTATGCTAAGCGTCTTGTGCAAAGGCACCATACTCTCACAAAAGACTGACACAGTTTTTCAAGAAAACACCAATCTCATCAGCAAATTAGCTTGGAAGAATTTGAAAATTGGAGAGAGTATAAAATAAAACATTATTAAGCTAAAACATATTTTGAAGTCTTCTGAAAAAGAGGCTAGATTTTGTGGGCCAAGAAAGTTAAAGGAAGTTAAAATTAGTCTAAAAAGCTTAAGGGCATCATCTGTTAGTGTGATGACAGTTTCTTTACAGGATGTTGTTGGAGAGCTATTTCACGTTCCTCAAAATCATCAGCCAACTTCTTCTGAAAATAGCTAGAATTCTCTACTAAGTTTTTCCTGTTCTTAAATGAAACTAACCCAGAAGACTTTTAGAGCCTGGCAATAAAAGCTATCCTAATTTTCCGTAAAATTCAATCTCTGACATACATCTGGAAGCAGGACTGCTCCAGGCAGAGACCTGGAACAAAGAGTATTCATGGATCAGCCCCGTACAGTGGCACTGCAAGAGTCACAGTGGAAGTAACTCAGCAAATTACAGCTCCTGCACTCCCTTTGATAATTGTATCTGGCCCAATGAGGTCCTTATAGATTGTAAATGTCCTACAGAAATATCATAAAAAGTGAGCTCACTTGAACAGTAATTGAAGCACAAGTTTTATGGAGTCATCCCCACTTCTCACACATAAAAAGCACAACACTGCATTTCTATGCAAGTTGGAGCTGCTGCTAGCTGCTTTTCCCAGGCAAGACCTGAAAAACACTGCACAGGGGCAGTATGGATCTTACAATGATGTGGATAACCCCAATAGCCACCTGAGTCCTCCGAATGGTTTGCTCTGCCCTCCCTTACATCCCAGAGATGGAACTGCTGTTAAAAAACAACCAAAAAGCGTAAGATTTGGGACCCAGATTTACTAGTAACAGCTGTGCAGAATGAAACTAGATCTGTGTTCCTGATTTCAAATACTTTATTTTAAAAATCTTTCTATCTCCCCCTAGTGGCCTCAATAACTTCTTAGAAGGAATATCATAAGCAGAATCCTATGGATCCAGATGTCCCCATGGAAATGGATGTGCAAATCCAGATGTGCATGGAAAATGCAGTTGTTGGCCTGCCTTCATCCTAATTTGGGGGCTTCACAAAGAAATAAGAACAAACCTAACCAAAATACCCACATGTTCATAAATCAGAAAAGTCTTAAAATGTTACAGAAAATGTTTGCCTGAACCAGGTGTTTAAGCTACATAGATCTTCAAAAGGACTTTCCCAGAAATCTCAATGAAATCAAAATATCACTTCTAGGAAACCTTTTTTGGACATTAAAGACAGCATTGCTAAAAGTGGCCTACCACCCTGGCTGCCCTCATTTTTAACTTTTTGGAACTCCTGGATCTGATCCACTATCATTTTAAAGTTGTTTTGTATTTTACTAGGAGTAGAACTGATATGAATATTTTTAGAAATTGTTGGGGTGCAGTATTACAGTGACACATTAGTGCACACATGCAGATGTTTCCTAGCATCAGCTTCTTTATTCCAGAAGTCCAACTACTACATTCATATTAAGATACCAAAACCACTTTTTATTCAATGTGTTAAACATATAGTTGTGAAAGTTTACTGTTTTAGATTATTTTACGTAAAACAGAAAAAAATTCTCAACTTTGTAACTAACAGTCTTTATCCATTAGCAACAATTCCAGTAAGAAAACAGTCAAGGTTATTTCTAAATAGAAAGAAGTGGAAAACACTGATCTGCCTATGCAAAAGAACAGTTTTCTACTGTCCTTTCTGTTTTAAAGCCCAGAATGACAAGCTGTTCTCTGCCAAAAATTATTTGCAGGGATAAAAAGCAAAGCCTACAGGTCTTCCAAGTAACAACAGGCTAGAGGCAGAGCTAAAAATATATTCCAAATTTCTGAAGTCTCAATACTTAATTCTTTCCATGAGATTGTATTCCTTCTCTATGCATCTAAATAGAAATTCAGGAGCACAACTTTAGGTACTCTGGTTTTGAAAGTTGGGAAAAGTCTGGAAAGGGAGGAGAAAAGAAGAAGCAGTAGTAGCTGCAATCTATTGTCAAAAGAATTTGCAGTTCAGCTTAAGAAATGGAAAAGACTCATGCCCCACCTAAACCTTTGATATGGAAAAATCATTCATGGGACAGAAACCAGTTTTCCTCAGGAAAATGAAACACAAGAAAACCCACAGTAGTAAATCCAAATAATTCTGTTGGATGTTTAGAATTATAAAACAATCATACTCTGAACAAATCTTCAGCTGCTGGGTACAAAATAAGATAGGTCTTTGCATCAAGATAAGCATTTTATTTTTGCTAATAAAAATGCACTGCAATGCATAAGACATAAGTAGACTAATTTTAACCCCTTCAGGAGTCTTTCACTGCTATTTAAAAACCCTAAAATGCAACATACAGGTTTACACACACTCAGAGAAAGTACATATTGACACCTATATAATGAAAAGGTTGACCACAATTTTCTGAATTTGATACTATCAGAGCAATGAATCTGAGTTACGCAAGTCAAAGTGCTGTTCTATGTCAATAATAAAATACATACATAACCTAATGATGTCATCCTGTTGCTATATTGTATTTCCAGACATGTGTAGGGTTGAAGTGTATTTAGAAGTAATGTTCTGGAACACTTGTTAACTCACCATGTAATTCAGATAGAACAAATTGCTACAAACATCCTCTCTGAACTTGTAAATGAAATCTGCTTCCATTTCAATGTCTACATTACGTTTTGTACAGAAGTTGGGGTTTGTGTGTGTGATCCGGTTACCTGTGACACATTTGGGAGATTTTACCTGTCCAACCAAGCCAGCAGACTTTTAGCTGCTCCAATCAGATCCACTACAGATGTCAGAAAATCATTTGGTAATTTGCGGCTTGTCCTTCCATCATAGTGACCACTCCTCCTCCTCCCAGTGATGAAGTTTTGTAGGTTTTTGGCAGATGCGTTCAGCTTGTGAGAAAGGGTTTTTAGGTTTTCTGTTTCCAAACCATAGTTCTGCATTGAAAAAAGGCAAAGAAAAGAAAAGAAAGTTAGCTTTGCAGCTGAACATGAAGTACTGAGAACAGCCTTCTGCTTCAACAATTAGCCATTCCTAATTATTAAGGTAGCAATACACCCACTCATTAGTTTTTAAATGTATGACATGTTCTGTTTCTAATGTGTGCAAAAATAGAACAAAAGAAGAGCAAAATGATGAGTGATCTTTTAGCCGCTTTTGAGTGTACTAAGAAAAACCTCAAAATGAAGAATAAACCTAGTCTGGCAGATTGATTTTCAAAGCAGTGCATCGCTTTCAGTAGATCAGACAAATCTCTCCATAGATCTGATGGTTAGGAATGAGTCCCTCGTGTCCAAACTCACACCAATTCCTAAGATCACGTTAGGCAAGAGAACTTGCAGCTCTCTTGTCTAGGATGGACACAGCGTGACACCAAATTGCTCTTATTGATTTTCATTCTTTTATTCTTGTTAGCAGTAAAGGACCACCAGAATGACAGACCAGAGAACACAGTGCTATGCAGCTCTGCCTATGCTGCACTTTTAAAGGCAAGTTGTCAGCTTTGCTTCCATTTAAGAGTGAACCCCTTAAATTACATTCCTCAGCTTCGCAGAGGAGACAAAAAATAATTATGCAGAATACTAATAGTAATTGAAAATACTTCAAATATACAAATGTTGCTGAAACAGCACCACAAAATCCCATAATGTTCAATTACAATATAATATAGTACTATCAGTGACTTGTTATTTTTATAACAGATGTTTTCTTCACAAATGCAAGGAATAATAATTCTTTCAAAAGGCATCTTCTTTTGCCTTTGTAAAGCAATAAGCAATTTCATAGCCTTGAGCTCATTTTTCCTGTAAGAGAAAGATGGGACTTCTTAAAGTGCTGTTCACTTTAACCACATCACAGGGTTCTAACATGAGGTGCTCACTTGTTCAGTTGACAGTGGAAAGAGCTACTCACTATGGAAGGTGAGCTGTTGACCATTTCCTACCACAATGGTGATGAAGTAAGTTTCAGAAAGACCCTCAAATGCACACAGAAAGTCTACTTTCTAATGACCCTTCTTGCTCTTGACAGCTCTCCTCCCAGACCCTCCATTTTGGTCCCCATGCTAATCTGTCCAAAAGGAGAAGAAATAAGAGAATGGATATATTTGCCAATGCTAACTTAAGGCTGCTGAAGCTTATTGACCTTAGTCTTCTTTTTCTATAGGAAATGGGTGGGGTGGGAGGGTGATTATTTACAGCAGTTGTCATGCTCCTAATCCAAACCACCTACTAAATGAACATAATCTCCTCTTTAATTACATAAGCACTGCAGGAACACTGCACTGAAGCTAGAACCAGTGAGTCCTAAGCCTTCCTACAATGTCTGCTCCCAAGCAAATGGGAGATCATCACGGAACAGAGAGACCTCAGCACAGGGCTTGTCTGCCCTCTCCCAGCCAGCGCCTCTTCATGCTTGTAAACCGACCATGCTCTGTGAGGGAGCCAGTAAAACAACAGTCATCTTTCCTCAGCAGAGGGCACGCTTTGGGACTCAGCTTAAGGAGGAAATAACCCCTACTGTAACTGCTGAGAACATCCATATTTTGTGCAAGGAAGGCTTTGCAGACAAGTTTCTAAACTGCACAGTTTCTGAACAAGTGCCGTCCCCTGCCACCACATTCACTTTCCACTTAGACAAATTGTATGTTTGGGCAGTGACTTTTCCTCACGTAAATATTCGATAGCAATTATACAGAAAGATGAAAACAATAAATTGGGATGGAAAAGTCAAATGTACTTTATTATGCAGCTAAATGGCTCATAACTAATAACTTATTAAATCAGTCTAAATAAGATATAAAGTACAGATAACAACAAATTTGGTTTTGCTGTGGTTTTCTGTGGTTGCTGTGGCACGATGGAGACTAAGGACTGGGTAGGAGCAAGTTGAAAAAAGATCACATTTGTTCTTATTTCATTCTGCTTCTTGAGCATCTAGCTCATTTTGGCAAAATTAATTGGGGAAGAAATAAATGTAAGATATACCAGATGAAAGTTAAGTCATACAAAATGTCTTATAGATCAGCCAACCCAAACCCTCACCACAAGCGAGCCTCCCAACACCCACATAACATGGCGCTCACCTCCCCCAAACACAAGGAGGGAAGACCACAAACTGCAGGCTGGCCACAGGCCGTCTCAGAGGGAGCATAGACACTGAAATGCTGAACTTCTTAATTCCGGGGGCTGTTCCTAAGGAGCTGAGGGTGATTATCCAAATATCACCCTTGCCTTCAAGCCATATGAGGTAAACTGAGGCCAGGGTGGCTGTGAGGAAGGAGCTGGCTGGGCCCAGGTGCCTGTTCACCTCCCCATCCAGGGCCTGTGGCTGGGAGGAGACCACACTGAGGCCCAGGCTGGATCCCCACACTCCTTGAAAAACCCAAATTGTTTCATATCCCTCACTTTCTCCACCACCTGCTTCGTCACCTTGTCTGTTCCCCACCCACTTAGAGAGGCCGATGCTGGGTACCAGCCTGCCCTGGTGTTCCATGCCCGCCGCAGTGGGAACCCAAGCAGGCAACACTCAGGCCCTCCAGACTCACCAGAAAATAGAGCACTAACAAAAAGAAAACCTGCAATATTGAACACTGCAGACCAAGCAAAATGATATTCAAATATTCATTCTATGACAAGAAAATATGCTGCATTTATGTATATGCTTCTTTAGAATATCAGCTGCTATAAAAGCTTAGTGGCCTCCTGTTAACATCTCAAGTGATGGTCACCAACATACAGATGCACTCTTTTTCAGATGTCTTTTATAACCGTCAGATGCATGGAAAAGAAGAGGCAATGTTAACAAAGTCTATTTTCACACATATTCATCAAATGTCTGTGTGTTCTTTAACAAAATAAACTGAGGGACAAATGTAACACCTAAGCTACATGTCAAATTCAGTCTTGCAGGAGGAATGGCACTGACTTCAGTAAAGCCTCCACCTGTAATATGAGACAGAAAGGCCGGGATGGAAAATACAGAGATAAATGTCAGGCAGAATATTTTTTGGGCAGCTGTGTTTGCTGAAGCCTTCAAACAAAAGGATCCTAAACCAGCAGCCAAGCTAACAAAATCCCCATTTTGTTTATCAGTAATATTCTGGCCCACGTTAAAAATGAACAAAGAGTTGCATGTTCTACTATTGGAATAAAGCTTGCTCAAATAATAACTGCCAAGTTTAATCATACTTTATATGTGATAATATACTATTAACAATATGGTTTTCTTAGAAATACACTATGTTTATTTTCAAGCACCGTAAGAAGATAATTGCAGGCAAAGGAGACAACTCTATTGTTTTCTCCTACTCTGCACTTAGCTGGCGCTAACACAAGTTATGCTTTCATTAGCCAAAATAAATTCACAGTCACCAAAAGAACCACAAAGAAATCTCTGCATGCTTTTAGATATTACAAGAAGCAAAGCAAGTCTATGCATCCGCTTTCTCAACATGAGACCACGGAGCAACAGTGTCTCCAGAGACACCCTGCCTCAACAGAAACAGCTCTAATGGAGTCTCTACTGGCAATCACAAAACAAGAACTTGATGAAGCTAAGCTACACAGAGTATTAGCTTGTCAGCAGGTGTTCAAACTAAAGGTGGTGGGAGCTATTAATAGACATTTTACCTGCTAATTACTTTTATGTGGCTTCACATGACAGTGTGAGTGATGAACTGTAGCTCTTTTCTTCACATGCTGACAAGCAGTAGCTCTAATCACCACTGATGAGTTTTTCTTTTTTTTTTTTAATGTGAGGAGAGACAGCCTAATTCCTCTGCCAGCCCATCCCTATATGAGCATTTCAGGGTAGGAAGTCAGTTCACTAACCAAACCTGGGACATAAAGCAACATTTTCTTGGATTAACTTGTTCAATGTTCATTAGTTGTCTGCCTGCTTCCCCCAATTAAAAACAAATAGACACACACACACCAAAAAACAAACAAACAAACAAACAAAAAAAAAAAAAAAAAAAAAAAAAAAACCACACAAAAACAACCCCATCCAGAACTCATTTAATCTCTTTCCTGTGATAAATTCACTTAACCCTTTCTGGCAGGGAAGTATACATCGCACTGCTAGCACAGGTTAAACACAGGTTAAAAAGTAGTGCTCCTAACTCCTATAGTGCTAACTATGTCTGCTGGCTCAGACAGGGTATCTAGAAGCTTCTTAGGCCTTTAGTTATGGGTACTTTTATGCTGCCTATTTCAAATGCAAAGGCACCTCAGCTAACTAAAAAACCCAAGCTCAGATACCAAAAGAAGTCTGCATCTAAACACACCACAATATGCAATACGGACAATAGGCACCGTCCAGAAACAAATCCAGAAACCCCTTAGAACAGATGTCTAGATCACAACTTTTACACAACTACAAATGCCTCTACATCTCCAAGCACAAAGACCACCTTGAGTTCAATGGTGTCGCCCGACTCCTAGACGCAATCCAACACAGAGAAATGAGCATATGGCCCCTCTGCCTACTTCCTTAAATCACTACTTTTCTTCACCCCAGAGGGCTGCTGGAAAGCATGTAGAGCAAAAGGCATGCAGCAACCAGTGCTAACTCTTATTGAAGATAGGAACTGTAGAAGACTCTACTGTAACATGGGTGCTTGGGGGCAAAAGGAAAATAAAAACAGTTTCACCAGGCAGGCAGAGCAGATAGCAGTGCTTAGATCACTTATTTTCTGCTGCCCCTCTGCAGAAGGCAACCACAACTGTATAAACTACAGAAGGTAAAGATTTATTTTTCTTTGGCAAATGTTTGCTGCCATACACAAACATTTTTTAAACAAGGGGGCAAATGGCAACCTTTTGAAAAGATAAATATTATAGTCTAGATAGGTGTGTTGTGTAATAAATTATGTGCTGCATATAATTACATGTAAAGACGTAACTTCTGAGTTGTGCCTGATATCTCTCAGTAATAT